AAGGACAGAGATAGTAATCATAACTGTGAATGTCATATATGAATGTAATAGAATACTATTGCGCTATAAGAAACGATGAACAGGCTGACTTCAGAAAAACCTGGAAAGACTTGTATGGTCTGATGCTGAGTGAAGTGAGCAGAACCAGGAGAACATTGCACACAGTAACAGCCAGTGCAATTACTAATATTGATAGACTTAACTCTTCTCAGCAATACAAGGATCTAAGACATCTCTAAAGGCCTCGTGATGGAAAATACTATCCACATCCAAAGAAAGAACTATAGAGTTTGAATGCAGATTGAAGCATACTATTTGCTATTTTTTTTCTTCTGTTGAGTTTTGTTTTCTCTTTCTTGTGGTTCCTCTTATTGGTTCTAATTCTTACTTACAACATAACTAATTTGAAAATATGTTTAATAAGAACACATATGTATAGCCTATATCAGACTGCGCACCGTCTTGGGGAGGGAGGTGCAGAAGGAAGGGGAGAATAATTTAAAACTCAAAAGCGTATGGAAGTGATTGTTGATATATCAAAATCCATTAATTAAGAAAACAAAAAACAAACAACACACAAAAAAACGGCGGCACACAAAAGCCTAAAGAATGGAACAGTGCTTCCCTACCCCTAATGGAGCAGAACTCAACTTTAAAATAAAGTAAAAAACTCAAGAAATAGACTGGGCAAATGAGCAAAAAACAAAGCAAGAACCTGAACATAAAAAAACTACTCTAGCATCAGGGGAAACCAAGAAACAAACTCAGAAGATCACAACATGAAAATAAATACAAGCAAAGCCTCAAAGAAAAAAAATGCTAAGTGGACACAAGACTAACAAAAATTCCTGGAAGAATTAAAGAAAGAAATAATAATGGCAGAGGAAAAAATGGGAAAAGAAATGACAGTCATGCAAGAAAATTATGAAAAGACAATTGACAACTTGGTAAAAGAGGGCCACCCCCCCAAAAAAAAACCTGAAGAAAATGACACCTTAAAAAACAGAATTGGCCTAATAGTAAAAGAGTCACAAAAATTCAATGAAGAAAAAAAGTCCTTAAAAAGCAGAATTGGCCAAATGGAAAAAAGCTCACTGAAGAAAATAATTCTCTAAAAATCAGAATTGGGCAAGAAAAAGTTAATGACTCCACGACACAGCAAGAAATAGTAAAACAAAGTCAAAAGAATGAAAAAAAAATATAAAAAGAAATGTGAAATATATTATTAGAAACTAACTGATCTGGTAAAGAGATCAAGGAGAGATAACTTAAGAATTATTGGACTAACTGAACACCATGATCAAAAAATGAATCTAGACACCATATTTCAAGAAATTATCCAGGAAATCCACCAATCACCACCTGAAAGAGATTCCAAAATGAAAACTTCCAGGAATATTAGAGCTCTCAAGTCAAGGAGAAAATATTGCAAGCAGCCAGAAAGAAACAATTCAAATAACACAGAGCTACAGTCAAGATAACACAAGATTTAACAGCTTCCACACTGAAGGACTGGTGGGCATGGGATACGTTATTTGAGAAAGCAAACGAGCTAGGAATACAACCAAGAATAACCTACTTGGCAAAACTGAGTAGTAATCCTTCAGGGGGAAAATCAATATATTATGGAATAGAGGACTTTCAGGCATTCTTGATGAAAAGGCCAGAATTAAACAAAAAATCTGACATTCAAACACAAGACTCAAGAGAAACATAAAAAAGGTAAACATTTTTGTGGTGGCCAAGAACTAGAAATTGAGGGGATGCCTACCATTTGGGGAATGGCTGAACAAGTTATGGTATATGAATGTAATAGAATATTATTGTTCTAAAAGAAATGATGAGCAGGAAGACTTCAGAAAAACCTGGGAAAATGTTTATGAATGGTGCTGAGTGAAATGAGCAGAACCAGGAGAATGTTGTACACAGTAACAGCCACATTGTGTGATGACTAACTTTGACAGACTAATCTCTTCTTAGCAATGCAAAGATCCAAGACAACTCCAAAAGACACATGATGCCCACATCCAGAAAAAGAACTATGGAGTCTGAATGCAGATCAAAGCATATTATTTGCTCTCTCTCTCTTTTTTTCTTTTTCTTTTTTGTTTCTTCTTTCTCGTGGTTTCTCCCATTGATTCTAATTCTTTATAACATGACTAATGTGAAAATAGGTTTAATATGAGTATGTATGTTGAGACTATATCAATTTACATGCCATCTTGGGTGGGGGGAAGTGAGAGATGGGGAGAAAATGTGGAACTCAAAATCTTATGGAAGTGAATGTTGAAAACTAAAAATAAATAAATTTATTAAAAATTTTGAAAACTGCAATTGCTGAGGGGATAAGGAAAAGTACATACACTAATAAACTGATGGTGGAGTTCTGAACTTGTCTAACCATTCTGGAGAACAATTTGGATAGTTACCTATGCCCAAAGGACTATAAAATTTTGCATACTCTTGACCCAGTCACACCACTGCATGAAGTTTGTACTTCAGAGAGATCAAAGAAAAAGGAAAATAATACATTTGTATAAAAATATTTATAGCAGCTCTTTTGGGGGGGGGCTAAGAATTGGAAATTTGGCAATTCCTCAACTTAATTATTTAATAAGAGAAATGACTTTGGGAAGAGAGACCAGAAAGCATCGATTTGGCTTAAGAAGTTTGGGGCAAAATAAGATCTCAGTTTTCAAGATTTCATAGTCTGATAGACAGAAGATGGTTTCTCTTCCATGAGTTAATTGAAGACCTTAGGACTACAGATGGTATTTTCATTACTGGTACTGATCAAAGGTATGAGCTTTACAAAGGCAGATCTGAGACATAAACAGTTAAGAAGGCTGTATCTGAGGGCAGCATTTGGGTTTCTGGACCTCAGCTTAAAACATTAAACAGGTCTGAATGAGCTGATACTTGCAAGAAATACTAAGGATAACCAAAAAAAAAATTTTAAAGCTACACTGGGAAAAAGAAAAAAGATCAAAGAAGCGGTAAAATTGTAGCAATCTGGACGTAGATCAATGATGATAACAGAGAGAAGGCAGAACTTTTATTTCATTTATCTTCTTTGCTAAGGGGAATAATCTTTGAATTGGAAAGGATAATACAAAACTAGCTAATAAGGAACTGCTAGCCAAAATAAACAGGGACAGCAAGAGGGAACTTTGCTGTCCTTAATGAGTTCAAGTCATCAGGATCAGGTCAAACACGTTCAGTGATTTCTGAGCCAGTCACTGATCTTGGGCAGAACAACGAAAATGGAAAAGGTACAAAATAACTTGAAGGGCAAATGTTATCCCAATTTTTAAAAAAGGGAAAGATAGTCATCTTCACATTGCAGGCACTGAACTTAACTGATTATTGCATGGCAAAATTCTAGAATGTATTATTAAAGTGAAGGTTACCAAATGACTAGAAAGTAAGTCATACATGACTTTTAAGAATGGCTCATGCCAGACTTCCCTTGTTTCTTGTTTTACAGACTGCAACGGAATGCTGTAGACATAATTTACCTAGATTTTATAAAAGTATGAGACAAAGACTCTAGTGTTACTCTTGTGGATTAAATGGAGAGGTGTGGATTAACCAGGCTAGATAAAAGTATAGCTGGTAGGACTTGAAACTTTATGAACTGTCAATACCATAAGGACCCATGAACAGTTAGATATCTAATTTCACATGAGATCTCTAATGAACTATTCCAGGGATCTGGTTGTTGTTGTTGTTGTTGTTGTTGTTATTCAGTTATTTTCAGTCGTGTCTGAATTCAGGGTTTCTTGGCGAATATACTGAAGTGGTCTGCCAATTACTTCTCCAGCTCATTTTATAATCACAAAGCTAGTACAACTCTGAGGCCACATTTAAACTCAGGCCTTCCTGACTCTGGGCCCTGCACTCTTTCCACCAAACCACCTAGGGATCTTTTCTTAGCTCTGTACTACTTAACTTTTTGTTTTTGGAAGCTAAGTTGTACAGTGGAGAATGCCAGGCCTGGATTCAGGAAGACCTGAGTTCTAATCTGGCCTCAGTCATTTGCTAGCTCTGTCACCCTGGAAAAGTCATTTAACCCTGTTTACCTTAGTTTCCTCATCTGTAAAATGAACCAGAGAAGGAAATGGCAAAGTACTCTAGTATCTTCGCAAAAAAACCAAAACACCAAAAAAACCCCCCACAAAACACAAAACCCTGAATGGGGACACAAAGAGTTAAACACAGCTAAAAACAACTGAACAACATTAAATATTTTTTATAAATGACTAAGATAAAAGGATAACAGGGATATGTATAAAATCTGCAGCTAAACAAAAACTAGGATGGTAAGTTATTATGTTGAATGAGACAGTCAGGATCCAAAAAGACATATACAAGGTACAATGTTAATAGGGATAAATGTAAAATTTTACACTTCAGTTAAAGTATAAGACTAGGGGCAGGGATGGGTGGGAGTAGAGGTTGGGGGGGTAAATGATAATGTATTTGAGGAAGATAAGAAGATTTCACTTGTGTGATGGGATTAATATCTACTAATATCGATGTTACAGCTAAGTAAACTTACTTTTGTTGCCTGTTGAATGATCTAAGGCAGAATAGGCAACCTTAGCAAGCTTTGGGCCTCCCTCCAAACCCCCATCCCTTGTTACATGTCTTTAACAAAGAGCTGAGTCACCACACAATGAGTATACTTGTAGAAATGATTGATATATAGGTCAGGATCATATGGGCTCTTAAGTTTTCTTCCAAGTCTGAAAATTCATAATTTTATGAATTAATGTGCAATTTCTCCCTCCCCACCAGCTGTAAGATTAATGTCTCTTTTTTGGATGGTAACTTTGCCTGGTACACAAAATTTGTTTTATAGATTCTCCTATTACATTGGAACAAATGCTCTAAAAGAAAATTATACATATTACTCCTTCAAGGACAGTAAGTTCAAAACACTTTTCAACACTATAAAGTGCATGTGATATCTCTCCAAGTCATACTGATGTCCTTACCTCTCTCTCCTGGTCTTTTCTAATTTGTCTTTTAAAATCATAATCTCCTTTTTAAGGGCAAGCTGCTGGCCTTCTGCGTCACGCAGTTCTTTCTTCAGATTTTTAATTTCATTTGCATGTATTACATTCCTTTTTGATAATTCCTCCTCATAAAAGATACTTTTCTTTTCCAAGTCAGCCTTTAGTTTGGTTATCTCTTGCTGATGTTCTATGCTGCTTATACCTGGTGAACGACCAATCTGTTTTTGCTATAAAAATAATGGAGAACTCTTACTGAACAGAACAGTGAAATGGTACCAACTCAGTTCTGCAATAAAGAAAGGCATGTTTATCTAAATGTCAACAGGAAATCACAAGATTTATGTGAAAACCAGGTTTATTATAAGACAAATGAACATGCATGTGGAACCCAAAGGGTCCCCAGTCTTTACAGTAGTTTACATTTTTATAATACCAGGACAAAGGAAGGAGGAAATACTAAGAAGGGACGTGACACGGGAGGGGAAACAGTGCAGCAATGGTGGGAAAAAAGACAAGACAATACCCCATGTGGAGAACTAGGTGATAGCAAAAGCCTTATTGTTTTCCCCTGGGAACTGCTAGCCTGTGAAGACAGAAGGGTCTGCTTATTTGCAAAGGACCCCAGATACACAAATATTATCCCAGCCTGGCACAGACTGGCAAGTGCCTGTCTTGCCTCGCAAGGACACGCAGGGAGTCTAGTGTAGGGTGCAGCAAAATATTATGTCAGCTCAGACAGAGATTCGTACTTGACATGTTCAGAGCCTCTGACATGCTCTGGGTCCAATGTTTCTAGAAAATATGGCAACTCAAAAAGATAAATTCAGGGGACCCCTTTATAGCCCTTAACACTAAATAAACACTATATATGCAAAGTTTCTAGAAATTATTTCAGTTAAAAATACATACTTATTCTAAACAGTGTAGAAGCAAGTAGAAAAAGCTAGTTGCTTTGCATTAAATATATTAAGAAAGATAATCTACATAAAAGGTTTTGTGTAGGTAGGTGAATCATCATTCAAAATAAATAAAATACTATTTTCTAAATGGTACATATTTGGGATAACTAGATAGGTCGTATCACCATAGTGGTGAGTACAGGGATCATATTATCTTTAAATTTCATATCTTTTCCAGGGTTAAGCAAAGTGTTCACAGAAGGCACCTAATTCAACTGAACAGAAAGAAATCCAGGTACCTTGGTCAGTAAGGAACACTACTCATTATGTCTTATGGTCTTAAACCTTCCATGCTGTTAAAGACCTGAGAACAATCACATTAATCATTGAAGCTTGAATATTTTTTTTCTTTGTTGGGAGCTCAAGGTCATGATAAAACATTTTAAGTTGTTCTTGAGGGCTGAGAAAACCCATATCAAGTTTCATTTTCAGTTGTCATAGTCAGGTCCTTCTGCTTCTACTTTTTCTTTTCTATTCTTGGATGACTTTTTCAGTCTGAGGTTTTTTCACTGTGGCACAAAGAAGCCTACTTAACAGAGAAGTGCCACTTACTACTAGTACCAATATATAAATTACTAATTAACTTGAGGACCAGACATACAGTAAGTGAGCTACAAAACAATTTAGTGAGGCCCTTAGTCACCTGAACATCCTAAATATGCTCACCTACTTACATAAAACAATCTCAACAGTTCTATCATCATCATTTACATTCTTTAAGGAATAGTAAATTACACATCTATATATAAATGTATATGCATATACATATATAGATTTATGCTATAAATATATTTTTGATTAAAATTCAGTGCATAAAACAATTGAAATTTTAAAAGAAAAACAACTTTGTTGATATTTTAAAATGCAACTCAAGAAGCAATATTTGCACCCCATAACTAGAAACTAGCACAATGCTATATTGTATCTGTATACATGATTTGGTATGCATAATCAAACATCTCTCTGTCTCTCTATATCTCTTTCTCTGTGTGTGTGTGTATGTATATACATACATATATATATGTATATATATATATGTATGTATGTATACATATAGACTAGAATCTCTAAACTTTTCTCACTTTTTCATAACAAAAAACTAGGAACACTTTGTTTTTCTTTACATATGCAACGTGGCAGTAAGATAGCATTTGCCTAGATCTAAAGGGAAAAAAGAGATAATTAACTTCAAAAAAGCAAAGCATACTGACCTTTAATCCCTCCAATTCATTCTCCAGCTGTTTAGAATACTGTTCACTCCGTTCACGTAGTTTCCTGTCCTTAGATGCCTCTGCAATTGCAGATTCTACATGGACTTCCAGCTTAAAAAGAAAACCAATAGCAAGTTTTCATTTTTATAATTCAGAAATAAAAATAATATATTCTTCCATATGTAAACAATATTTATTAGAGAGTAAAGCCAAATATCCAAATCTTCACTAAATAACTATGATAAAACTAAAAGAGGTTTATGCCTAGGATAGTAATTATTTTTCATGTGAAAAAAATACAGTGACATAGAGACGTATAACTTCAAATTATCTGAAAAAGGAGCTTCCATTGTTACTCCCCAGCCACTAAAGAATTTGCCTGATACTAACCTCTTTTTTGGCTCTTTCTGTTTTGCGCAGTTCTTGCCTTAAGCTTTCAACCTTTTGCATCACCAGTTCCATCTCCTCTTCCTTATCTCGGACTTGGCGGGCAAGTTTCTGTTTCTGGGAGTGCAAGTCTGTCAACCGTTCATTCATCTCCGAAAACTCTTGCATGGCCAGTTTCCGCTGGCTGTGTGCATCTTTCAGTTCTTTGGTTTGGGATTTTAATCGCTCACTAGACTCGATTAGTTCCTACAGTGTTGTAAAAAGAATACAAGTTAACAATTAAGAAGATTAGAGGCCAAATATGGTCTTCAATGCAGCCATCATTAGAGTCAGGAAGAGCCACTTTTGCAAATCCAAGGACAAAAATGAAAGAGATGAATTGTTTAAAGAAACTAATAAGAGCCTTTAACCAGACTGGATTATAGTTTGAGTTCTTGAGGTAAACCTGCTATGCAACAATGAATAAATTACTTAAACTTTTGGAAGTATGTTTTTATGACATACTTTGAAAGAGATTAAAGAGGTGTAAAGGATGGAAAGATAAGTAAAAAATAACTTAGAAAAGAACCAGCAGATATGTAGATGAGGAGGGGTACTGGCAATATATTTGAGAAGGGGTATATAAATGGTTTGGAGAGGCTTCATGATTATCTGTAAAATATCTTCCTAACTCTGCTTAAAAACTATATAAAAAGCTAGAATATTTTTAAGGTTACTTCATTTTGTGGCTCAAGGTTTTTTATTATCACCTTTCTGGTATTAATGATATGTGATATCAGTAATCACGTATTATGATGTGATATATATCAAAGGTGATATTAATGTAACCTTTATTCATAAGGCTAACATGAGAACTATTAATATCACTAGAATCTAGAAAATCTGGGGGAAAGACACTGTTTAAAGATAAATATCAGAATACTTTCCATGGTAACTGAATTTGGCTCAGTACGTGTACAAGACTGTCACCACACATCCTAACTTTACATAAAAGATTAACTGCCACCAGAAGTAGGTAAGTGGCAAAATGGATAGAGTATCTAGCCTAGAGTCAAGAAAACCTTTGTTCAAATGTGGCCTCAAAAACATACTAGAAGAATGATTCTATGTAAGTCACCTAACCCCTGACTGCATCATTTTTCTGGTCTGTAAATGAGGATAACAATAGTATCTACCGCCTCGGCTTTTATTTTTTAAGGATAAACCGAGATATTTGTAAAGTGCTTTGCAAACCTTAAAGTGTTATGTAAATGTTAGCTTAATTACTGTTATTATATTACTAAATAATTCTGAATGTATAAACTACTACTGTGAGGTCAAAAGTTACAATTCTGGCCTTGAAATCTATACTGTAACTAGATAAAACTCCTACTTCAAGAAGATCTGCAGTAGATCTAAAATGACATAAAACCCTTTGAAATATATACTAAGTAACAGTGAAAACATACTGAGTTAATGCAGAACTAGGTTGATAGTTCTGTTCTTTTTTGATAATAAATGCTTTTTTTTTACATATGCTGCTCACAATTAAAATTTTTTTTTAAGTTTCACATATTTTTAAAAAAATTTGGCCTGAGCATAATATATGTGTTTTGGCATACATACAAATAAACTCACGAGCCATATATCTATGTCTATGTCATCTTAATACCTCAATCTACATCTACGAAATCATCTTTTATGTACATAGAGTAAAAAACAACCCATAAACTAAACTCTAAAGATCTTATTAATATATTGCAATAACAATCATTCAAAGACTATCTTGAAGTTTTAGTTTAAGCTGTTTCTACCTTGGACAGCAAAGAAAACAAATCTTCAAAATAGCTATCACATTCTAGCAGCTAGATCCTAGCTAGCATTATACTCTATACACAAGTTACAGATGGGTTGTAGTACAATCAAAATCAAGCCTCACTTTATTTTTTTAAAGTAAGAAACAGGACAGCAACCTATGTCATGGAAAGTATATTAATTTAAAAAAGCAAGTTCCTTATTATGGTGCTTATTACGATGCTAAGACTTTGAAAGAATGACTATTTTGCCTCTCTCAAGGAATAACTACCTTTGCATAAATGTAGAAGTATTACATAAATTATTTATGGAAAAAAGGATCTAGGTCAACCTAGCTGAAATACTTTTTATAAAAGCTGTCAAAACCACAATTTAGATTTAAAAACAAACTAAATCCTCTGAATAAACTATTTTTCTTCTTTAAATTTAATATTTTATTTTCCCCCAATTACACACAAAAACAATTTTTAACATTCATTTAAAAATTTTTTGAGTTCCAAATTCTCTTCTTCCCTTCTTCCTCTCTTCCCTCATTAATACAGGTTATACATATGCAGTCATGCAAAATGTATATCAATATTAGTCATGTTGTGAAAGAAAACACAGACCCAAAAAGGAAAAAGAAAGTAAAAAAAAAAGTATGTTTCAAACTACACTCTGTACTTTTCATCAAGAATGCTTGAAAGTCCTCTGTTTCACTCAATATCCATCTTTTCCCCTGAAGGATTATACTCAGTTTTGCTGATTAGGGGATTCTTGGCTGTAATTCTATCTCCTTTGCCTTCTGGAATATTATACTTCAAGCCCTCTGGTCCCTTAATGTGGAAGCTACTAAATCTTGTGTTTTCCTGATTGTGTTTCCACAGTATTTGAATTGTTTCTTTCTGACTACTTGCCATATTTTCTCCTTGACCTGGGAACTCTGGAATTTGGCTACAATATTCCTAGGAGTTTTCTTTTGGAGATCTCTTTCAGGAGGTGATTGGTGGATTCTTTCAATTTCTATTTTATTCTCTGGTTCTAGAACATCAGGGCAGTTTTCTTTGATAATTTCTTGAAAGATGATGTCTAGGCTCTTTTATTGATCATGGCTTTCAGACAGTTCAATAATTTTTAAGTGATCTCTCCTGGATCTATTTTTCCTTTGGAGGATTATACTCAGTTTTGCTATGTAGGTGATTCTTGGTTACAATCCTAGCTTTGTTGCCCTCTAGAATATCTCTGTCAAGCCCTCAGATGCTTTAATGTAGAAGCTGCTAAATCTTGGGCTACCCTGAGTGTGGTTCCATGCTATTTGAATTGTTTCTTTCTGGCTGCTTGTAATATTTTCTCCCTGAAATGGAAGTTCTGGAATTTGACCATAATATTCCTGGGAGTTTTCATTTTGGGACTGGTAGATTATTTTAATTTCTACTTCACTGGCTGGTTGTAAAATATCAGGGCAGGTTTCTTTGATAATTTCTTGAAAGATGATATCTAGGTTCTTCCTTTGATCATGGTTTTCAGGTAGTCCAATAATTCGTTTTATTTTTTTTTCATTCTTAAATAGCATTTTATTTTTTCTCACAATTACATATCAAGAAAAATATTAGTATTCATTTTTATAAGATGTTGAATTCCAAATTCTTATCCCTCCCTCCATCCCCTTCCCTCTTCTAAAAACAGTAGGCAGTTTCATATATTTTATACATATGCTATCATGTAAAACATTTCTATATTCATCACATTTGTGGAAGAAACAGATCAAAAGGGAAAAAACCATGAGAAAGAATAAAGTGAAAAAATATGCTTCATTTTGTACACAGAGTCCATCAGTTCTTTATCTGGATATGGATAGCACTTTCCTTTGTGCATCCTTTGTACTTCTCTTGGATCACCGTATTGCAGAGAAAAGCTGTCATTCATAGTTGATCATCACATGATGTTGCTGATATAGCGTACAGTGTTTTCCTGGTTCTGCTCTATATTAGTTTGTACAAGTCTTTCCAGGTTTTTCTGAAATCTGCTTGTTCATCATTTCTTATTGCACAATAAGAAATAATAATTACATTCATATACCACAGTTTGTTCATTTCCCCAACTGATGGGCATCCCCTCAATTTCCAATATTTTGCTACCACAGATATGGCTGCTATAAATATTTTGGTACATATAGGAGTGCATATCCTTTTTTATTATCTCTTTTGGATATAAACCTAGTAATGGTACGGCTGGAACAAAGGTAAGCACAATTTGGTTGCCCTTTGGGCATGCTTCCAAAATGTTCTCCAGAATGGCTGGATCAGTTCTCAACTCTACCAATAGTGCATTAGTGTCATAATTTTCCCACAACCTCTCCAGCATTCGTCATGTCCCCTTTTTGTCATATTAATCAATTTGATTGGTGTGGGATGGTATTTCAGAGTTGTTTTGATTTGCATTTCTCTAATCAAAAGTGATTTAAAGCACTTCCTCTTTTGTCTATACGTATCTTTGATTTCTTCATCTGAAAACTGCCTGTTCACATCCTTTGACCATTTTTCAATTTGGAAATGGCTTGTATTCTTTCTCATAAATTTGACTCAGTGAGAAATGAAGTCTTTATCAGAGACATTTGCTGTAAAGATTGTTTCCCAGCTTTCTGCTTTCCTTCTAATCTTGGTTGCACTGGTTTTGTTTGTACAAAAGCTTTTCAATTTAATATAATTAAAATTATTCTACATTTCATAATGCTGTCTCTTGTATGGTCATGAATTCTTCCACTTTCCATAAATCTGACAGGTAGATTATTCCTTGCTATTCTAATTTGAATGCTTCATTGTCCATGGTACCTTTCAGCAAAGTGTAGTTCCTTTCGTTATCTCTATTAATTAGGTCTGTTTGCTTTTACTTTGTCTAAGATCAGGATAGGTGTATCCCTGCTGTACTTACTTTAGCTGAAGCATAATAGATTCCGCTCCAGTCCCTTATCTGTACTCCATGTGTAACTCTGCTTCAAGTATGTTTTTTGTAAGCGACATTTTGTTGCATTCTGGTTTTTGATCAACTCTGCTATCTGCCTCTGTTTTATGGGAATGTTCATCCCATTCACATTTATGCATACTACCTATGTATTTACCTCCATCCATTTCTTCCTCCTATTTGTCCTCTCTTTCCTTTCACCCCTTCCCACTTCAACAGTGTTTTGCTTTTATCACCTTTCTTTTTTTAAAAAAATAATTTATTTTTAGTTTTTAACATTCATTTCCACAAAATTTTGATTTCCAAATTTTCTCCCCATCTCATGCCGCCCCCCAACCCAAGATGGTGTGCATTCTGAAAATCCCTTCCCCTAATCTGCCCTCCCTTCTATCACTCCCCCTTCTCTTATCCACTTCCCCTTCTATTTTCCGGTAGAGTAGGATTGATTTCTATACCCACTGCCTGTATATCTTATTTCCCAGTTGCATGTAAAAACAGTTTTTAACATTTGT